CAGGGGAGGGTCCTAGACACCCTCAGTTTTTGATTCCATGGAAGACCCATCTTACTAGCCAAACATGACCCTGGCATCTCTTGGCAGGACCTCCCGGGTATTTTCTCAGCTGGCCTGGACTTGAGGGAGATGTATGGCAGGAACCCAGCCCATTACGCTGAGTTCTGGAAGGCTGTGCAGGAGCTGTGGCTGAGGCTCTACATGTCCAAGCTGATGTTAGTGTCTGCCATCAATGTGAGTATCCCCACCCACAGTTCTCTAGGGCCTATCCAGCAGCAGGGGACACTCAAACTTTGACCTTCCTGGGCCAGACAGACAAGGCAGAGGAAATGCCAGTGGTGGGACAGGGACCGGCTGGCTGGAAATGAACCCTGGCTGCAGTTAACCCTGAGCAGCCTGGGCTACACAGGAAACCCTGCCTTGGGGAGAAGAACAGAAAGACAGGGAAAAAGCAGGGTTCTCTGAGGGCATAGCTCTAAGGATCAGAGCCATGAGAGCATAAAGGAAGAATTGAAGATAGAAAGTTAGGTGATAGCCAAAGTGGGGCCTGGGGAAGAGACACTGGTGACATGTCTCACTCAATATGGCGCATTTGGGTGCATGCAATGTGGACACTGCCGTTTTAGGGTTCCCAGGCATCCTCCTGGTAAGACTGATTGCCAGGGGTGGTAACAGCTCCATGGCCTGACAGCTGTGTCTCAATAACTTACTGTGAACATTAGCATCAAATAAAAGCTACAAAAGGACAGGCAACTTTCTGTCCCAAGAGTCATTGTTGGCCCCTAAAAGCTAAAGAGCCACATGCCAAGGACCTTGAGCCCATGGAAAAACTTGACTCTGTTAAGACCCAGCTGCTGATCCCTGGTTGGCCAATCTCAGCTCTCATACCGATCTGGCATACTTGGTCCAGATGCCACTGCAGTGCCAGGAGCTCATGCCCACCCTCTGCCCTGTCTAAGGAATGTTACTGGGTACTGGAGCACCTACAGACTGAGACTCTTGCTTCTCTACAGGGTGCCTCTCCTGCTGGAGGCTGTCTCATAGCTCTTACCTCTGACTACAGGATTATGGCTGACAACCCCAAGTACACCATAGGACTCAATGAAAGCCTGCTTGGCATTGTTGCCCCCTTCTGGTAAGACCAGGGATTGCACTCTTACTCTACTTGACAACCTCCATCCTAACAAGGTGGTGAAGGATGATGTATGTCTTCATTCCAGGTTAAAAGACACCTTTGTGAACACCATTGGACACCGAGCAGCAGAGCGTGCCCTTCAGCTGGGGATGCTCTTCCCACCAGCAGAGGCCCTCAAGGTGGGTGTGGTGGATGAGGTGGTGCCGGAGGACCAGATACACAGCAAGGCTCGCTCAGTGATGGCCCAGTGGTTGGCCATTCCAGGTGAGGAGCAAGCAGCAGGCAGCTTTGGGGCAAATGGTTAAGGAAGATAGGTCACCTTCCCCATTCTGGTGATCCATCTTGATGAAAGCAAAAGTTCTCACAAGTGGGGATCTATGAAAGTACTTACAGAAAGCTCTTGCAGGGCCTGGGAAGCCTTCAGGAACACGGCTGCACCTGTGAAACTCCAGCAACACCAGAACTCTTTGGTGTTTGATTTTTTTGAGACCGGGTCTCACTGTGTAGCTGAGTTTTCCCTGAAACAACCTACTTAACCCATGTCTTCTAATTTGGAATCCCCCTGCCTTCGTTTCTCCAATGTTTAGATACAAGCATGTACCACCAGTTGAGACACTAAAATGTTAATGTCATATATTTCCCAAATGTCACAAAGTATCCTTTTGAATTTTTCTAAAAGGAGCCCTCTTCTCTTAGGGAGCAAGTAGCCAGTCTCTACATGCATGAGAAAGAATCTACTGATGTGGAAAATGTGGCCAGTAATGCAATTCAAACAGAATGACATGTTAGTTATTTAAGGTGCTAGAAATGGAACTCAAGACTTTGTGCATGTGTTCTATCACTGACCTGTGTTCTGCCCTAAAAATGACATTAAGTAGCCAATTTTAAGAGGCAGGCAGAGTGGCATGTGCCGTAATCCCAGCACTCTGGAGGTTACAAAATGAAGTCCTACAAATTAAAGACCACCATGGGCTAAAAAGAGCTGACTCGAGAGCTGGAGAGATGGCTCAGAGGTTAAGAGCACCGACTATTCTTTCAGAGGTCCTGAGTTCAATTCCCAGCAACCACATGATGGCTCACAACCATCCGTTATGAGATCTGGTGCCCTCTTCTGGTGTGCAGATATACATGGAAGAGAATGTTGTATACATAATAAATAAATAAAATCTTTTTTAAAAAAAAGAGCTGTCTCAGCAACAGCAGTAACAAAAACTCTTACAGTACCCTCCTCCTGTCTGCTCTTGTATTTTATTTATATGGGTTTGTTTAGACAGGGTGTTCATTTCAGGCTGGCCTTGAACTCCCTATTCCACCCTAGCTGCCCAAATGATAAGACACCATCCTTCTTTCTGATTTTCCGAACTCTCTAGGAGGGTCTGTATTTCTATACATGAAGGAAGTGTAGCACAGCCAGGAATGGCCACACACTCTCTGAAGGTGAGTTTCACAAATAACCCCATTTTCTTTAGACCATTCTCGGCAGCTGACCAAGAGCATGATGCGAAAGGCCACTGCAGACAACCTGATCAAGCAGCGAGAGGCAGACATCCAGAATTTCGTCAGCTTCATCTCTCGAGACTCCATCCAGAAGTCTCTGCACGTGTACTTGGAAAAGCTCAAGCAAAAGAGGGGCTAAAGCAATGCTGCCACACAGGAGTTCAGTCACATGTGCCATCTGGGGACCTACTGATCCCAAGGATTATAAACAAGGTGTTTTTCAACTTAAAAATTGTCTTAGCTTTTGTGTTCCTGACCTTAAAATGGCCAGTGCCTGGATGTAGAGGTGGCTCAGTGGTTGAGACCACTGGCTAAACAGGGCGGTGGTGGTGCGCGCCTAATTTTAATCCCAGCACTCGAGAGACAGAGGAGGCAGATCTCTGTGAGTTCTAGACCAGCCTGGTCTACAAGAGCTAGTTCCAGGACAGTCTCCAAAGCCAAAGAGAAACCTTGTCTCGAAAAACCAAACCAAACCAAAACAAACAACAACAAAAACAAAATAAAAAAGAGCACTGGCTGCTCGTGCACAGGAACCAGGTTCAAATCCCAGACTGATGTGTGGCTCATGATCATCTGTGACTCCAGTTCCAGGAGATCCAATGCCTTCTGTGCTCTGTATGCAGGCAAAATACCTCCCTCCCCCCCTCTCTCTCTCTCTCTCTCTCTCTCTCTCTCTCACACACACACACACACACACACACACACACACACACACACACCTGTTCTGTTAGCTGGGGTCAGAGGTCTGTCAGTAAGGTCTCACCAACTATCATGAGAGCTTGGTAAAAAGCAAGACATAGTGGATGCACTTGTAGTTTAGTACTAGATAGACAGGAACAGGCAGGTCCCTGAGATTCTCTGGCCAACCAGTCTAGCTAATTAGTGAGTGCCAGTGAGACACTCTGACCTCTGGCTTATACAAATGCACACTCATGAACTGCTCCTTGAAGTCTAGGGCCTACAGCCCCAACCACAAGAACCTTTTTGCTTCGTGAGCACAAAGTCACTCTGGATCTTTTACAAGGTCACACTGCATATCCATCTGAAAGCAGAGTTGTGGACAATCTGCTGTTGGCTATCCCTGGCATTTAATGGCTGTCTTTTTGAAACTTTAAGGCCAGACAGCCTCTGTCACCCTCCAGGACCTCCATAGAAAACCCTTGTGGCCCCAAGTTTTCATTTAGAAGGGGCAGACAGCTGCCAGAGGACCCTGGGGAAGAGGAATGTGAAGGATGGTGACTACAGAGTTGCTACCTTCCCCTGGCCACACCCTATTCCTGCCCCCGACAGGGTCTCATGTGCCCAAGATGACTTTCCAACTATTTAGTTGAGGGTTGCCTTAAATCCCTGAGTCTCCTGCCTCTGTCTCTTGAGTGCTGGCATTACAAATGCCACCACTGCTGGTTTATGTGGGGCTGGGGACCAAACCCATGACTTCATGCATACTTGGTCAGTACTCTACCCTCTGAGCTGCATCCCCAGCCCAGTACTGCTTATTCAGTGCAAGGTCCTGAATTTTACATTAGATTTTGCAAGAACCTGATGTGTAGGTTGAGAATAAGGCTTTAATAGAGCACCTACCTAGCATGCTCTAGGCTCTTGTTTCAATACCAGACATGCCAAAACAAACAAAACCAAACTTTTCTAATCCATCACAAGAGGGTTTTTTCCCGTGTGATTCAAACCTATTTCTTTAATGCCACTAAAGATGTTTTATTCACCTCATAGGCACACACAGAAATAAATACACACATGTACACAAAAATAAGTTTGAACCACCAGAAACCTCATGAGAGCCCTGTGTCCCCAGAGCTAGTTCCTGCTCCTAAAGTGATGGCACACCTGAGCATAAAATCTCCATCCTCTCAGGGCCACGCCCAGCCCAGGACTTTAGGGAAAGCTGACATAAGACTCCTTTGAAGGCCACAGCCCAAGCAAGGGTGCAGGCTCCGGACAGGACTTCAGTGCCAAGCAATTGCCCTTGTTTTGCTGTGGGTTCCTTCCCAGAAAGTCTGCTCACTTCACTAGGGCAGGTGAAGCCTCCCTTGCTCCTGCAGTGCTAGGTAAGAGCCCAGCCTCTGCTTGGGATGAGTGTTTTAGGGTCCGTGATCGCAGAAATCCAGGAGGGTCCAAAAAGACATTACTACCCAAGCTGTACTTAGGGTTATGGTTCATGGGAGCTTTTGAAGTTTGCATGAGGGAAATAAGGAAGTGAGCTGGCACAGCTTCTACCAGGCTGAGAAGTGCACAAGCTAAGCCATCCATTTCCCTGGGAGCAATGGAAACAGACCGAATGGACACTCAGACCAAGTTTTGCAGCCTAGAGACAGAGGTCTCAGAGAGCATAGGGGCCTCATCTGACCTGGGATAGTCCTGACCAAGAACGGCTTGTTTATTAAGCGTGCAGCTATGTGCTTGATGCTGCTCTGGTTCCATTCATGGGTGCTCCTCACAACAGCCCTATGAAGTAGGTGATGTCAGCACACCTTACACATGAGCAAACAGGGGCTCTAAATAATCCTGTAATGTGTTCATAGCCTTTGTCCACATCAGCTGGCCCTGCCCTGAATGGTGGTTGGCCCGCCACCCAGTGATCCATTGTGGGACCATTCCGTGAGGCCAGAGTCTGCAGGTGGCATATCCTGCCTAGGCCATAGCTGTCAGTGAGACTTGAAGGTCACTTCCACAGGAAAATGGTCACTGATGGCAAGAGCCTGGAAGGAGAATGGAACCTCGTCAGCTCTGCAGAACAGCATGTCCTCTAGCTGTCTCCAACTGAGAAGTGGGGTGGTGAAGTCTGCATGGCCACCCTTGGGCCTCATAGTGCCCGTGCGTGGCAATGGAACAGAAATATGCCAACAGTCCCGACCTGGGGTACTGGCATTCTGAGAATCCTTGGCTATAACAGCCTTTGCTGGAGGCAGCACCACGTAAACACACAGAAAGCATTTCTGTGAGTCCTCCTTAGTGGGCTGGTGTGTCTGCTGGATCTATCTTCACTAGCCCTATCCCACACTCACCTGGGTCTGATCTAGGCCAAATTCCTCCTGAAAGTTGTGAACAGAGGCTGACTGGGCCTTCAGGCTCTTAGGCAGATGAGCACCGCTCACTACAATCCGGTCGTAGGCACAGTCTGAGTTGCCCACTGTGGTGTCCGCACTGTCTGGGATGAGCCATTTAAAGACCTCACTGCTGCGCAGGCGGATTGAAACCCAGTCCTGTGCCTTTACATACTTGCAGTCAGCATTAAAGTCACCCAGGAACACCATGTCCTGTGGACAAGCACAGCAGGTGAATCTTGGTCAGCAGTGCTCAGTGGTCCAGACCTGAGCACCTCTTCAGTGTTCCGGGATGTGACTGAGGAGGTGGGGGTGGAGGTTACACACCTTACACATGAGCAAACAGGGGCTCTAAATAATCCTGTAATGTGTTCATAGCCTTTGTCCACATCAGCTGGCCCTGCCCTGAATGGTGGTTGGCCCGCCACCCAGTGATCCATTGTGGGACCATTCCGTGAGGCCAGAGTCTGCAGGTGGCATATCCTGCCTAGGCCATAGCTGTCAGTGAGACTTGAAGGTCACTTCCACAGGAAAATGGTCACTGATGGCAAGAGCCTGGAAGGAGAATGGAACCTCGTCAGCTCTGCAGAACAGCATGTCCTCTAGCTGTCTCCAACTGAGAAGTGGGGTGGTGAAGTCTGCATGGCCACCCTTGGGCCTCATAGTGCCCGTGCGTGGCAATGGAACAGAAATATGCCAACAGTCCCGACCTGGGGTACTGGCATTCTGAGAATCCTTGGCTATAACAGCCTTTGCTGGAGGCAGCACCACGTAAACACACAGAAAGCATTTCTGTGAGTCCTCCTTAGTGGGCTGGTGTGTCTGCTGGATCTATCTTCACTAGCCCTATCCCACACTCACCTGGGTCTGATCTAGGCCAAATTCCTCCTGAAAGTTGTGAACAGAGGCTGACTGGGCCTTCAGGCTCTTAGGCAGATGAGCACCGCTCACTACAATCCGGTCGTAGGCACAGTCTGAGTTGCCCACTGTGGTGTCCGCACTGTCTGGGATGAGCCATTTAAAGACCTCACTGCTGCGCAGGCGGATTGAAACCCAGTCCTGGGCCTTTACATACTTGCAGTCAGCATTAAAGTCACCCAGGAACACCATGTCCTGTGGACAAGCACAGCAGGTAAATCTTGGTCAGCAGTGCTCAGTGGTCCAGACCTGAGCACCCCTTTAGTGTTCCGGGATGTGACTGAGGAGGTGGGGGTGGAGGTTGCCTACATCAGTGTTCCACTTGTCTATCACATCAAGGTACACATCGTAGAGGGCATCGATCTCGGCTACCGCCTGGTGAGGTGCTGCGTGCAGAGGGATCAGCACTAGCTCCTTGGCAGCTGTGGAAGGCAGGAGTGTGAGAGCCAAGAGAGAGAGCCTGATGGTGCTGGGTCTGGGAGAGGGCAGCATCAAACTCACCAGAACTGGGAGCTGAAAATTTTACCACAAAAGGCTCCCGGCTGAAGGCATCCTCTGGGTCTGGATACTGGTATGTGCTTATAACTGACACTGCATCTTTCTTGGGAGCAGAAGACCAAGGGGTCTGTGGAGCCGGTCACCTCTACCCCTGTGTCCCCTCCCTTCATCCCACCCCTCACCTGTAGACAAACAGATACATTTCCTTGTATTGGTCACGTCCAAGTGGCTTGCTGCTCACAAAACTGTACTCGTGCTTAGACTCTCTGTGGAGAGATCCACCAGTCACTGGGTCAAGGCACCAATCCAAGCTTGTGATTGTGGCTGCGGATGTGGTGCCGGGCCCTGACATACCTGTTAATTTGCTCCATGAGCAGTGACAATGCACTCAGGTCTGGATCTCGCACCTCCTGCACCAGGACGATATCATAGCCAGCCAGGATCTGAAGGAAGGACCCACAGGTACACTGTCTGAACCAGCCTAATTGCCCAGAGCCTTGCTAGCTGTTAGTCCCCTCTAATTCCAACCCTTCCCCATTGCCCTCACCCAGTTCCTCCTCCATCCCTCCTGGGCCTCACCTGTGCTATGACACTGCCACAGTCTGGATCTGACACTTTGTTGTCACCAAAGCTCTGAATGTTGAAGGCTCCAAGGCGCAGTGCTGTGGCCTCCATGGCCCACAGTGCCCAAAGTGCTGCCAGCAAAGACCTGGGCCAACCCATGGCAAAGCAGAAAGCCTGGGGACAGGAATGTCCCAAGAATAACACAAAACCGTACCAGATCATAGCATAGAGGTATCCAACTAGGTCAGGCATCCATATTGGCCTGTGTCCCTACACTCCCCATGTTTGTTCAGTGTGTATGTATGGGGGTGGGGGTTGATGATGTCTTATTGCAAAGATGGAAGAATCTATTCACACCCAGCCTCCAGCCCAGCTCAGCCCCTAGACTTACCTGGGCTGTGAAGAAGGTGGTGTTAAAAACTCAAGGGTCCTGAGTCAGTGTGATTCAGTCCAGAATGGGGGCCTCATGTAGCCCAAGATGAACTTAAGTCTTGGATCTACAGTAGCTCTGATTCCAAAGCACCCACAGGTATTTGAAGCCCTGGACCAGGAAGGGGCTGGACTACAGTGGGAACCGCCCCTTCCATGGAGTGGATCCAGAAGTGGCTCCCATTGCAGGGACCCAAGAGTGTAAGGGACAGGACACATGCTACACCAGTTCCACTGACTGACTTAGAATCATGACTGAAGTCCCTGGCAGCCCCCCAGAAGACTTTCAACACTACAATAAGGGACAACCATGCCAACGGCCAGCCTCTCGTTCTAGTCTCCACCTCTCCAGAAACCAGATGGTTCAGAATAAGCCGCCTTGAGCAGCATCCCATTAGGGAAACAGGCTGATGAATCAGGAAAGACCAGCCCTAGCCTGCTCAGGCATCATCTGCTGCTTCTCCAACCCTTCTCCACCCCTGAGGAAGGCATCAGCTACTCAGGCTGATCCAAGGTCCTAGGTCTTTAGACCAACCCCCTAACCCCTGGCAGTCCTAAATTTGGTCAGTGAGAAGGAACACCCCACATATAGCAGGCCTGTGAAAGCCAGAGTCATGGATCCAGCTAGGTAGGGCAGCATCAAGAGGCTGTCTGTCAACATGCCAGAAACACCCACGCACCTTGAGGTGCCACCAGGGCTGGAAGCCAAGTGTGTGGCTAAAGGGTGGCCTGAGCAGGCAGGTGTGTCCAGAGGGTACCTATGAAGGCAGTGGGTGCCAGCCCCAGAGGCTACCTCTACCTCAACATCACAAGCTGCAGGTTTTCATGTTTTATTGTAAGGCAAAAAACAAACAAAAGACTGCATATTCACACTCTTATCTCCTTTAGGTGCCTGAACTTCAATGTCTTCTGAACAGACAGGTGTGGGCAGGCACTCGGGGTCCTCGTCCTACCACCGTAGAGGCCCTCCAGCTATACGATGACTGTCTGCACCTCAATTGGGCCCTCTGGTGAAGCAATGACCAGCTCTCCTCCATGCTCAAGGATCTCTATGTCCTCTGATGACACCATTGTCACAGTGGCCTGTTCAGTACTGTTTGGACCTGTGCGGGCTGTGAGCACAGTGCCTTCACTGATTGCTGAAGCCAGTGTCATGGCCACCTGCTCAGTAAGACTCTCAGGAGTGGCAATGGTGATCGTGTCAGCAGCAGCTGCCTCTGAGCCCAGTGCTGCCTCCTGGTCCATGGTCACATTTTGTACGATGATCTGGTGCCCAGCACCAGCCTGGTGCACAATCTGCTGTACCACCTTCATGATGTGACTGTCCACCTGCATGCAGGGACCATGGGTCAGCTTGATGGGCTGCTCAGCAGCCTGGTGACCCTCCCATACCTCACCCCTAGACTCTCACCTCTGTCTGGGTGCCCTCAATGATCTCGGTGGCTTCACTGGTCTCTGTGTCATCTGCAGTAGCCTGAAAGGTCAATCAGGTCAGCCTGGGCTGTCCTGAGTCCAAAGCTGCACCCACCCCCAGCCCTATACCCACCTCAATAATATACTCTTGAGTATCAGCCACCACAGATGAGAACTCCACCAGCACGGTGTGGGGGTCTTCTGCAAGCACAGTGGCAGCCGCAGAGGGGCTCTCCTCAGACACCACCACCTCCTCCACTTCCAGCAGGCAACCCCCTGCCAACAGGGAAGCTCGGCTCAGTCAGGGCCCGTTGACCCCGCCCTCACCCTCTCCTGCCATCTGTGGCCCAGACCTTTGGTGCGCAGGTGCCGGTTGAGTGTGCCATGCTCTGCAAAGCCACGGCCACACTTGTAGCACTTGAAAGGCTTCTCGCCTGTGTGGTGCCTCACGTGCCGCACCAGTGAGCCCTTTTCTCGGAAGCCTCGGCTGCAGAACTGGCACACGTGGGGCTTCTCTTCCAGATGTGTCCGGAAGTGCACCTGCTGGGCATTCTAGGGAGACCCTTCTGTAACAGCCTGTTCTCAACCACAGCCCCCAACCCCAGGTATGGCTGGGAGACAGTAACAGAGGACACAGCAGGCCCCCAGTTAGACAATGGACGGTGGGTTCAGGCATAAGGATTCAAAGACCAACAGCCTACCTTGGTTTTGTAACGCTTGCCACACTGGGGACAAGGGAAAGGCCTCTCATCTGAGTGGACACGTCGGTGGCCCCGCACATGGGCAATGGTCTTATAAAACTTCCCACACTCTCCACAACGGAAGCGGCGCTCGTGCACATGCACCTCCTGGTGCTTCTTCAGCAGGTAGGCTTTGGGGAAGGCCTTGCCACACTGTGTGCAGGTGAATGGCCTCGGCCCTGAAGCCACACCCAATGTTAGGCCATTTTCACCACCCACAAGCCCACCAGTTGCCATCCCACAGGCCACCCGCCTACCTCCCTGCTACCCACCTATATGACCTCTCTTGTGGGCCTCCAAGGTGGCTGCTGTTGGGAAAGTCTCACTGCACTGAGGGCATGGGTGTGCCCTAGGCACCATTGAAGCTTCACTGGCCACCTGTCGGGGGACCACAGACCAACCTCTAGCACCTACTGTGAGCTATGCTCCAAAGGGGCCAAAAACAAGAGCCAGCCCTCTTTTCTCTTGGCCTCTGGTAAGGAAACTTACAAGACAAAGTTACAGCAGAAAGCATTGCTACTTTTCAAGCCAGGCACAGTGGTGCACATCTGCATTTCCAGTACTAAGAAGCAGGAAGAACAAGAACTGAGGCCAACATTGGCTCCATGGTAAATGTGGGGCACCCTAGGTTAGGTTAGACTGTGTCTACAAAGATAACAAACCCTAAAGTTAAATGAACGAGGGTAGGAGCCTCGCATGACAAGCAGGCCCTGAGTTAGCCTCACCAGAGGGATCATGCCAATAACAGAAACCTACTGTCTCTATCTGTTCCATCTCCAGCATGGCAGTTCTGGGGGTCCTTCTCCCAGGGACTGGTGACTGGACACAGAGGGAGGAGACGGCTCCAGAGTACTCTCCTCCCCAGCAACCCGCTCGAGGACGATGCCAGAATTCTGCATGGCCTGATGTAGCAGGTTCTCACGGTTGTTCTCACTGGAACAGGGAAGCTCCTCAGGGTCTGGGGACTGTAAGGGAGGTAGAGGAAAAGAAGGAAGGAGGGGAAGCCTGCCAGGCAGCCCACCACAGGGTATCCTTACTCACCCACTCCACATGGCACTCATGACAGGCCCCTCCTGAGAGCCCCATAGTGCACTGCCAGCTGCCTCTGTTCTCACCGAGTAAATTCCATCCCATTCTCCCTAGACTTCACCTCACTCCCTGGCAGCTTCCCTGCCTTGATATGCCATCTTCTAAGGAGTTCTCCCTACACCCTGATGTGCTTCCCAGGGTGGGGGTGGGGCTGGGGCTGGGGCTGGGGTGGGGTGTAACTGTGTGGGGGGCCTTCCAGAAGGCAGTTTCTGAGCCCAGCCTGGCTGGCACTGTGTGATCAAAGGGTACAGCAGTGCCTACCTCAGGGGCCAGGGCTTTCATGCCCAGGGGAAGCTCCTGCATCTGGACATGGACTTCATGGATGACAGTGCCCTTGGCATCTGTTACCAGGTGAATCACAGGTGATGTTTCCATGGGTTCTCCTGCCACTGATGATGTATCTGTCCCCACAGGTGAGGCACTAGACCCTTTAAGGCAGCGTTCAAATAGTCCTTGAAGAGCCTGGCAACCAATTTTGGCAATACCTATTCCAGGAACTCAGGCAACCTTCCCACCAAGTTAACTTGCAGGCACTTCCTCTTTTTTTAGATTTTATTTATTTATTATGTATATAACGTTCTGTTTCCATGTATATCTGTACACCGGAAGAGGGCACCAGATCTCATAATGGATGGTTGTGAGCCACCATGTGGTTGCTGGGAATTGAACTCAGGACCTCTGGAAGAGTACTCGGTGCTCTTAACCTCTGAGCCATCTCTCCAGCCCAACTTCCTCTTTGCCCACAACTGTGGCCTTGCTCACGCTGAGGCGGATCTTTTCTGTGCATGGAGTGAGAGATTTAAGGTGCCGAGTCAGTGCACCTGACTCCCTGAAGCTCTTTCCACACTTGGCACATCTATAAGGGCGCTCATCTGTAAAAGAACAATCATCCCCCAGTGGGAGATGGGCAATGTCCTGTGTTGAGGGGACACCAGGCATGGAACCTCTGTCTTTTCATCCAGAAGGACACAGGCCAGCTGTAGAGCCAGTCAGCAGTCTATTAGTGTAGCTCTAACCCCATTTCACTTACCAGTGTGTCGCCTGTGGTGACGGATGAGTGAGCCCTTGGTCCGAAAGGAGGCACCACAGAGCTTGCACTCATGGTCCTTGCGGCTGCTGTGTGTTACCATGTGGGCCGGAAATATTTTCTACTTATGGAAAAATTAAAATGATTGACATGCCTGTAGAAAGGATGCATCCTCATCTGTCCAAAGGCTACGCATATGTGGAGTTTGAGAATCCAGATGAGGCAGAGAAGGCACTGAAACACATGGATGGAGGTTAGTGATCCTGTGGCCACCTCAGCCCTGTCACATCTGTCCTCATAGACAACCTGATTGCTTGTCGGACCCTTGGAGTAGATTTCCAACCCAAGTGCTTCTGAGTCTCAGCAGAGCCCTTTGTAGATTCTGGTTCTTGCTCAGTGTATTTACCAAGAACATGTTTTCTGAAGCACTCACTATCCTGAAAAGAAAAAGTCAGCAAATATGAATATATTAGCATTTTAAGAATCTTTCAACCTGTTAAAAACCTGTGGATCAAAAGAAGCTTTTCTTACAAAGAATATATTTGGCTTTTGTCGGGGACCAAATATCCCTGTTATGGAATATTCTGGGTCCAGGCCCTGGCCGCCATAAACAGCGGTGGCGCCAGGGAGCTCCTCATCACCATGGTATTGTTAATTAACACCAGGCTGTTACTGTTTACCATAGCCGAAGGTGATATGCCTCCTAATTTGCATCTCTGTAGCTTAAGCCTTGAGTTGGCCCATACCTGGGCTGAAGACTCTGCCTGCTTGACCAAGAGTTGTTTAGGCAACAGAATCACTTGATGTTAGCGCGATATGCATTGTGATAAATGCTTCCTGATGTTGTCCCTGCCCTTGGAGGACTATTTAAATGGACTTCTCAATAAACTGTGGCTGCTCGGCGTCAGCTGGGAGCCCTCCTGAGATGATATGGTGTTTCCTGTCTCATCATTAGCGTTGTTGGGTAATTAAACTTCCCTAGTCCACACACCTCCACTCAGAATCGGACCCGGGACTGTACGGCTGGCTCCGTGCACAGTCCTGAAGACATTGGTCCGGAACAATTGGCATCAAAATGTGGGACCGAGTATGGGGGACAGATGTGATGGACACCGCAGAAAAATAGAAGAGAAGCTCACGCAATAAGAAGTGATCAAGTGTGGTGAGTGAACGACGCTAGTCAGGAGTAAAATTGTCTATAACTGTAAATATGGGACTAAGAAGTAGCAAGCAGGTGATGGTGCAGTCAGTTAGTGAGATTTTGAAAAATAAAGGAACTGAAGTTGACCAGCAACGCATACAGAATTTTGTAGAATTTGTAAAGCAGATATGGCTTGAGTTTCCCCGAACATGGAAATGTCTGAATCCGTCTTATGAACTGCGCCTGCGTTTGCAGTACCCAGCTGACCACATTCGTATTTGGCGGCTCCGAGGAGGAACTCCCGGCAGCGGCTCCAGGAGACGTCCTGGCAGTGTTTGGAGCCTCAGTGAGCTCATTTGTTTTCTGGCTAGGATAGATGCCTTAGTGCTTGGAGCCTCAGTGGGCTCATTTGTTTTCTGGAGTTTTACTTTGGACTCTTTGTCGAAACCGCGCTGCGAAAGCCTGTTCTGTGTTGTTCGGTCTTTGTTTTGTAGTTGATGTGCATAAACGCAAATGGATTACTCTTTGTTCCTCAG